GCCTGATAGCGACAAAAACATGAAAGTCGAGAATTTGGGTGGACGGGGTCTTTAAGCTTACAAAGATGTCAGAGATGATCAACATATGGACAGTAAAAGTCCGTCTCACTTGCGAATGAATCTGAAATCTCTTCATACACCGTTAAATTTGCCTGAGCAAATCAACTATTAAGAATGGAGCATAAAAAATCAAATCATAGAATTCCAACGTTTTGTAGCACAATCTAAACAAGCACATTTGCAATGAAGTTGTATTATTATATAAAACCTAACGCTTGAAAATACAACCAGAAATGCTTGCAAAAGCAATAACGAAATAGCTTTGAAGATCGCGTGAGAGATACAAGCCTGAGATCGTCAGACTCCGCATCTGCATCTTTTTCTTTCGAATGTTAGTTACGGCTCATCTTTTCTACTCTGCTCTAAGCGTAAGTCTGAAAGTCATTCATTGAAAGTGTCAAACCATCATATGTTAATTCAGTTCATAATCCTTGAAAGGGCATTATCGCTGAAACCAGTGTACTTTTCTGGAAATTGCAATGCTTTGAAGCGTAACAGAACGGGCTTAAGAGCTCGATTGGAGAAAGCAATAAGCACCGCAGCTTGGATAGTAAGTAAGCCTAATTCATTACTATGCATCAATTATGATTTCAGCGCTACAACTGCTATGTCGAAAAACTTGCTAGAAAAAATGTCAAGAATGTCCTCAGCACTAATCCTTACAAATATAAGCATGGCAACTTGGTGAGAAACCCTGCAGCTTCTGCGAAAATCAGTATGATTGTTTAGATACTCGAAGGTTTACTTATATACAACAAGTGGCCTTTTGGTGAAGAAGCACTATTCAGCACAGTAAAACAGTTTGCCAAGGAGTTGAAAAAGGTGAGTTATCAGCTTTCGTAAAATCTTGAAAACAGAATGAGATAACATCGAAAACTAGAGCAATCGACATTGTTACTCGTCAACAAAAAATAATATTAAATGATCTTGTACGTAGAGCTCGATGTCGGCACTGTGTGCGTGCGTACTCGGTTTCATTCACCGATTACTTATATTTTTCGAGGAGGAGCACCGGCTACTTTTCGTAAGGGGATATCAGTTGATTAATTTTTCAGCTAACTTTGAGCTACGATTAAATCGTGAAAGAAAGACTTTGAGCATATTCATTGAGAAAACACAGCGGAAGCAGGGGTATGGCATATGAAACCGAACAAACGCGGGAAGTCGTTAAGTTGAGACGAAATCTCAAAATATTTTCATAACGCCGAGTGGGTCCGTGTATGCTTGCTGCTTTTAAATCAAGAGTATCCCAGAATAGCAAACGTTTGATCACTGTCAACTTTCTTATATAAAAAGCTTTCTCTAGAAAGCGTATTGGAGAGGTGGGTTCAACTTATAATAGATTTACAGCATAGAGAGAGAGAGTCGGTCATTCTTTGTTATTGTAAGATTCGGTGGTAGGAATTCTGAATAAGTTCCGCTATTAAGTGCCCTGTTCTGGTTGTACGAGGCAAATGACCTGAAGACTCTTACACTAGGCTTATTCAGATCAAATGATGTGAGAGTGATTCGAGGTGCATCTGAAGCATCATGACCTTTCATTCTCGAGTTTCAAAAAACGCGAGTTGATTTAATCAAGCAAGTTTGCTGCTTTTGCTGAAATAGTCTTCAAAGTACAAAGCTAAATGCCTGCTTGTTTGTGTGTAAGTTTCTAATATTCCTGAGCAGATCCGGATCAAATCTCGTACACATCTTCTATCAATCAGACCATGTTCATTCTACCTGAGCATGCGATAATTATGCAATTCCCTATTACCTGAGCATGCAGCTTAGAATAGTTCCAGCAGCCAGCCAAATTTAAGTCAAAGTTTTGGTCCAAGATTTCAAAGATTAGCCTCGGTAAGCGTTTCTTGGCACAACTCTTGCGTTTATAGCGCTTATTTTTCAAAGCAAATCTGAGATTTTTGAGTTTAGAGCAAGCAAATTGAAATGTACTTGTAGTTTAGTGGTTTGTTTAAAGTGGACACGACAACCAGTATGGCGCACGATTTATTCCTCAAATTTGGGTAACTAAACTAAATCATTATGGCTTTATTTGGGTAACTAAACTAAATCATTATGGCTATGGGTTCATTATGGCTACTCAATTATGGCTTTAATTTTTTTTTATTTCTATGCTCTTCATTCTATTTGATAATCTTTCTGTCTTTCTGTTTGTTTTGGTTTCTTACTAAC